CCACTAGGGGTGGTGCCTCATCTTCAAGGCGAGGACCCGACAACCGATGAAGGTACGGATCACCCTTGTCCCCATCAGGCCCTGATCCTTTAGGTCCTTTATTGCATCCAAAAGTTGGGCACATGGTGCCTATAGGCCTCCAGGGGCGGTAGTTCCTCCCATGACTCTAGGAGGTCACCACGCAGCCAGTCAGGAGAATAAGACGGCAGCGGCTCTCATTGGGGACGTACAGCCATGACTTTTGCGACCCCAAGCCTGTGGAAGGTTAGCGATCAAGGCTCAAGTACCCGTCCTCCGATCTAGGATGAAGTTGGATCAAGGCGCCTCCCATTCGAGGAAGATAGATCACCCCGAGCGCTGAGTGAACCACCCGAAATATAGACCACCACAACTCATAGTGGGCAGGGACTCCTAGGAAGCCCTTGCATAGCATGATGAAGATGGAGAGGTGGAGGATCCCCTCTGGGGTCAACTCATGGAGGCAGAGCCCATAGTAGTAGAGCAACCACTAGAGTAAGGGGTGCACCGAAACCCCCAACCCAAAAGAGTGGAAATGGGCAAAAGAGACGACCTCATTCTCCTCCGGCCTCGGCTCCACTTTGGTTCTCGGTGGGACTCTCCACCTGATCACGTCGATGGCCTCTAGGATCACCGCATTATTCACAGCTCGTCGAACGCCTTGTGGTCGATGGATGACTTCATCCACTGCATGGTCATGGTCCTCACAGGAGGCGTCGGTGGCACAAAGAGCGCAGTAGGGTGGAGGGCAAAAGCTTTGGGATGGCAGGAGATCTAGGGTGGGAAGGTAGATGATCGCAAAAGGCATCAGATAACCCGTGGAACCACCCCATGACCCACGACCACTGGCACGTTTGCGTGGGTGGGCGGTTCGGCTTTGCCCCATCACATCAATGTGACGGGCAATGAGGCGACATCCCTACTAGAACTACTTGCTGACGCCACCCATGCACGCGTGTCTGCGTGGGAATGCAGGAGCCTACAAGATGAAAACGGACGTCGTACATCGTTCATCAATACTATCTGGGTAGTCACAATTTCAAACAACCGGACCTTTTGTGATAAACCTTATCACTCCACTAGTGTCCGGCTAGTGAAAATTTTAGATGGTCGTTCTGTCTATAAGGTGCACAAACATTTCAACAGTTGTGCATCCGTCCTTTGACGGTTGTGATGAGCCCAAATCTAAATTCAACTACTCCCTCCATCCCCAATCGAGGAGTCAGAATTGTCAAATGTGAAAAAAAAAAAAAAACTAAATGTAATAAGAATCAACCAAATTATATGAAATATGAAAGAAATAAAGGAAGATAAATATAGTTGGACCAACATAATAACTTCATTCCTTTATATACAAAAGTACATTATATAGTATTTCTCTAATCTCTATTGTCTAAAACATCTCATCTTTCCAAGGGGACTCATGTCAGACGGTTGACAAATTCAATTCAGTCGATCAACATAAGTGAAGATGACAGAGTCTCCTCCCACAAACATAGTAACACTACTAAGTCTTTTCATCTCCTCAAAATTCTTAACATGGACAAAAATCTCGCCACTATCATTGTCTTCGACAACTATAACAAAGCAATCTTTACCAAGCATATAACGAACTATAGCTTCAACAATGATTAGTTAGGGCTGTTGATGAACATGACATCCCCAAGCAACAAGCACAGGGGCTTGCCTTCGGCAGGTGGATTGTCAACTATGTCAATCGTCGGTGGCTGTGGGGCTTCCACCTATACGAGAACCCCCTCCTCATACTCCTCGATCACCTCCTCGTATTCCTGCTCTCTGGCGGTCACGAACTCCATCAACTCATTCTCTACATGCATGCAATGATGATGCAATACTTAGTATTTTGGCAACAACAACTCTTAAAATAAGAATACACATGCTAAGCTACTAAGCTAGCTCTAATGACTAAGATACTAAGCTAATCATTATCTCTACCAAATAGATTTCAAGCTCACCCTTCAAGTGCTTAACTTTTATAAACCAATATCATGCCATTATTCCTTTAGCCTTAATGGGTATTTAGCTACCATATTAAGTAGTCTATTCTAGGGCTATAAAAATTACGGTGAGCACATAATAATACAATGAAGCTACTATAAAAATTTTAGGGTTTTTGCTATCGCCAATCTACCACAAAAATTCTTACTATTATTAATCAAAATAATACTAAGCATCTCAACTATTTTAATGCTCCTTAGCAACCACACAGATATATATGAACTAACTATACTAACAAGTAGATAATGTTTTTGGGAACCTAACAAAATTAGTTTCATAATTTTTGGATATCTACATTATTTTATATTAATTATCAAAATTTAGCTCAGAATTAAAATAAAAAGCTATTTCTATTTTCCACGAAAAAAACAAACCGATTTTTGGCCCAACGCGCCCACTGCGGAGGCGGCCCACGGCGGGGAGCCCACGCGTGCACTGGCACTCTTGCAAAAACACCCTCGCATTATTAGACAATAGCGAACACTACACGTACTATTCTATAGATAGCGACTTTGCAACGGAGCCCTCGTATCTTTTCATCTTCACACCAGAGAGGCCCCCGAGACGCCCCGCTCTTGTCGGCGTGGCGGACGGTGGCACTAGGTGGTACGCCGGCCACTCAAAGCTCGCACCGACCCAACTAACGAGCCAAACCCCATCTACGACCCTAACGCCTACCCTAAGCGATGTACTGAGCAACAGCAGTAGTGATGCGAAATGCCACTGCGCTGCTGGTCACCACCCATGACTGGCCGCGATCATCTGACGAGCTGGCTGGCGCTAACAAGACAGTAGAGATAGGGGATAAGTACCAGGGGCACACCGTGAACCTGGCCAAAGTGGTGGTTTGACTGGCGACTACCTGAGCAGGGCTAGCCACGTGCGCGCGACGAGCATGGCGATGAGCCGTGGCGGACACGGTCGCGTCAGGACAGGGGGGAGGTGGTAGCGCTCCCACTGGCGTGCGCATGGTGGAAAGGGAGCCAAGGTGAGCTAGTGGTGCAGAGGAATTTACGTGGGGTGAAGTGGTGGAGGCTGGCCATGGCGCGGGCCGTGACGGGTCTTAACGGCACGGTAGCGGGGCGAAGCTCCAAAATTGAGGCTCGGACTGAGCCGCAATCAAAGCATGGTGGGGCGGCTGGAGAGGGGACATGAGGGCGGAGGCGTGGACAAGAGGGATTGATGAGATGTGACCCCTCACAGCTACGGCGTCGGTGCGATTCGACAGCAGCAGGGAGGCAAGAACAGAGAGAGAGCGAGGGAGCGGTGGGGGAGGGGTAGCCATCGACTCGGCAAGGGCGTGCCTTGGCGAGACGTGGTTGGCGCACCCTACGCAGCCCGAGGCCAGGCACTAGCCGACAGACACACGCACGTCGGGCCGGTGGGCCTGCGGTAATCGCAGTTGCCTTCAATGGCAAGGCGACGGCGGTGACACGACACGCACGCGCGTTAACGCCAAAGCGAAGCGAAGAAAAGAAGCCATAGCCGCAAAGCGGGGCATGGTGATGCGACGGTGGCGGCAATGGCGGCGTTGTCTGGCTGGCTTAGCGCGAGGCAAAGCAAAGAAGAACAAATGGCAACCACGATGGAGGGGGTGGGTCGGTAGCAGAGCGGACCGATGGCCCTAGCGGGTGCAGCCAGAGAGCGGCAAGCAAGGCCGACAAGGCCAGCACGGCACGCAAGACACCGCCTGCAAGGCGACGCGGGTTGGCCACGCGTGGTGACCACATGCACGGCGCCAAATAACACAAAGCTCTGACGTGCACGAATTTTAAAGCGCTGATCACAACCAAACCGTTGCTCTTAAACCTAAACCGGCTTCACTACACTCAAGATGGCATATGGAACTACTAAATCGAATCATAGCACTATACCACTCCTTAATTCAATCTCTCCAAATAAATTACTAAGTATAGCAGCGTCTAACTGTCCACAAACTTAGAAATTTTCTAAAGGTTTGAGCTAATCTTAATTTCATATTGCATTTTTAAGCTACTGAAAATATTACTTAGCAATATTCTTTTTCGACAGTAAGTATTTCATTATCATCTACCAAGTTTGCACTTCTAACTTTTTTTAAGTATCACACACATGTTTTATAGTATTTTTTCTTAATAAAAATTGATTTTAAACCCTACTTGATATGCATGAACCATCGAATAAACTTTCGTTTAGCATTTTTATTGATCATTTTGAGTTACAGAAATTGATCTACACACTTCACCACATGCATTAACACACAAGTACGATGCTCATGACATGTTTTAGTAGACGATTAACTGGTAACACCGAGAGTGTTACATTCTCTTACTATGAGAGCAGAGGACGCGTCATGATCGGCCTCCGTTATCTCTCTCCTTGTTGTCCCACGCTCCTACTCACATGGTTTGTTGCCTCGGGCCTTATTTAGTTCATCTCCTAAAGTTTACTTTTTATCTCATTGAATATTTGGATACATGTATGAAGTATTAAATATAGATTAAAAATAATTAATTGCACAGTTTGCGACTAATTTGTGAGACAAATCTTTTAAGGCTAATTAGTTCATGATTTGATCATGCGGTGCTACAGTACACCTGCTGATTACGGATTAATTAGACTCAATAAATTCGTCTCGCGGATTACGGATTTTATAATTTGTATTTTTATTAATAACCAAACACATATACGACACCCATACGACACCCGACGTGACTAGCTGATTTTTACAACTGGATTTAAACGAGGGCTCAATCAGTCTAGACTCTTGACATCTTTTTCGAAGCGAGTCTTCAGAGCTTTTGCACGGTTTGTACTGGGTGCTAAAGATTCGATCGGCCGCCGGACAGCTGCGGTGACCCGTGAGGTCGTCTTCCAAGGAGGTTTGGTACTTTGGTCCTCTCCTCTGCAGCGAGGTTCCATTCCGTTTCTTGATTTCGCGGGTCTCCGCTAGCTATTCCTATTCCTCCGGGGTCTGGGTGCTGATGGACGTCGCGACGGGCGCGGTGAGCACGCTACTGTCCATGCTGGGCGACCTGCTGACGCGGGAGTACCAGCTGCAGGCGAGCGTCCGGGACGACGTCGCGTTCCTCAAGGCGGAGCTGGAGAGCATGGAGGCCGCGCTCCTCCGGATCTCCGAGGCGCCGGCGGACCGGCCGCCCGACGTGCAGGACAGGCTGTGGGCGCGGGAGGTCCGGGAGCTCTCCCACGACGTGGAGGACTGCGTGGAGGCCTTCCTCGTGCGCCTGCACCACCACCACCAGGCGCCGCCACCGGCGCCGCCCATGGCAAGGACCTCCTCCAGGGCCTGAGGGGCCTCATCGACAGGGGGATCGGCCTGCTCAGGAGGGCCAAGATCCGCCGCGACATGGGCGCTGTGGTCAGAGACATCAAGCGACGCGTCGTGGAGGTCGGCGAGCGCCGCGTCAGGTACAAGGTCGACGGCGTCGCGGCGGCGGCGAAGCCCGGCCGTGGCCCGCAGGCCTCCGACGGTGGCCTTCGGCTGTCGGCTCTGTACGCCGCGGCGACGGAGCTTGTCGGTACCCAGGCGAGGAGCCGTGAGCTGGTCCAATTGCTGATGGTGGAGCGCGATGAGGCGTCGAATCGGCTGCTGAAGACGGTCTCCGTCGTTGGTTTTGGAGGATTGGGCAAGACGACGCTCGCTAGGATTGTGTACGAGGAGCTGAAAGGCCAGTTCGATTGCGCGGCGCTTGTTTCCATCTCGCATGATCCTGACATGGAGAAGGTGTTCAGGGACATGCTCTGCCAACTCGACAAGAACCGCAACACTGACATTGCAATGTGGGGCGAAGCACAACTTATCGAACAACTAAGGGAATTCCTTCGAGACAAGAGGTGCGTATGTACATTTCCCTTCATCTTCATAGATGCTTGTTACACTTTGCCATGTATTAATTCATCTCAGTTCCCCCTTGTAAATTGAATGATCCTCTTGAATCTGTTTTAGTTTTTTAGTACTGGAAACCGGCAATGGAGTTTCTTTCACTACTATTACACATTCAGTGCTTAAATTTGGCATTGCCTCATCACCTCCATACCATTATCTCTCTAAAGGGTCATTGCCTCATCACCGGATCATTGGCAGCTGACTTTTTCGTTCATGTCACCTCTATACTGATCGCTCTAACCAAATAAACTGTATTAGAAGCATTAGTAATTAACATGGTTCTTTGCTGCAATGATCCTCATGAATCTGTTTTAGATTTTTAGTACTGCAAACCGGTAACAGAGTGTCTTTTATGACTATTACACACTGACTGTGCTTAAATTTGGCACTGCCTCATTTCCTTTTATGTCTCTTTAAATTTGGCAGCTAAACTTTAGGTTCATGTTAACAAAATAAATTTTATCATGAGCTTTACTAGTTAACATGGTTCTTTGGTGCAATCCAACAGCTACTTCATTGTCATTGATGACATATGGAGCTGTTCAGTATGGAACACAGTCAGGCATGCTTTTATTGAGAATCATTGTGGAAGTAGAATAATCATGACAACTCGCATCCTTGATGTTGCCAAGCAAGCCAATAGTATCTATGAACTAAGACCTCTTTCTCCTGCTGACTCAAGAAAGTTGTTCTACCAAAGAATATTTGGCACTGAAGATGCAGCTCTTCCAAACCACTTAGCTGAAGTATCAGAGAATATTTTGAAAAAGTGTGGCGGTGTACCTTTAGCTGTAATTACAGTAGCCAGTCTATTAGCAACTAAAATGAGAAAGGAAAACACTGATAAGTACTGGTATCAAGTGTATCAATCCATGGGTTTTGGACTTGAAGAAAGCACGGATGTGAAGGACATGCGAAGGATACTGTCTATCAGTTACTATGATCTGCCGCCACATTTGAAGACTTTCTTGTTGTATCTGACTTTGTATTCAGAGGATAATGGTATAATAGTCGAGAAGGTGATATACAAATTGATAGGTGAAGGTATTATCCGGAAACATCATGGGAAAACTTTTTATGAAGCGGGAGAGGATTACTTTGAAGACCTCATTAATAGAAGTATTATCCAACCAATGCTTTTTAACCATGGGAGTAAGGTATGGTCTTGTTTTGTGCATGACATGATGCTTGATCTAATTGCTTCCGTATCGGAGGAGGAGAATCTTTTACAAGCACTTGGTGGTTCCCAGACGATGTGTGAGCCAACAAGTAAAATCCGCCGATTGTTCCTACAAAACATGAAGGTCGAAGATGTCAAGAAGGTGGTAACCATGAACCTGTCCCATAGAGATCACTAACCGTGTCATCAGAAGCATTCACTTTGTTGCCTACCCTGTCCAGCTTTCCGATCATACGTGTGTTGGATTTATATGGCTGTACTCAGGTGGATAACAGTCACTGCAAGCACATCTGCAATTTGTATCACCTGAGATATCTAAAGCTATCTTTGACATCCATCACTGAGATACCAAATGAGATTGGGAACCTACAGCTTCTGCAGTTCCTGGACTTGAATATGACCAACATAAAAGCGCTTCCACCAGCATTTTTCCAGCTAAGAAAACTAGAGTTCTTGTGTGTCGACAATCGGACTAGACTACCAGAATGCCTTGGGAACTTAATTTCTCTACAGAAGTTATCACCATGTATAACAATCAGGTCCCCAACAATGCTGTGTGAATTGAGCAGGCTGACCGAGCTGAGGCGTTTGATGCTCCGCTTCGATGACTGGGACGACGAGAGCTATGAGGAACCTTTTGTGCAGTGTCTATCCAACCTGGTCAATCTTGAATCCCTGCAGATATTTGATTGCCACAATGGCCTTGGTTCCAATTCCAACATTGGCATGTTGTTAACACCAGGGCCTCAACAGCTTCGATCCATGAACATAGGGCCTGGCACCGTAGGCTGTGTGCCAAGATGGATGCCATCACTCTTTGCCCTGTCCGCACTAGACATCACACTGCTGACACTACAAGAGGAGGACCTTCAGGTCCTTGGCAGCATACCATCACTTCGCAGCCTCTACATATGGGTGAAGGAGCACAGAAAGGACAGGCACAAAAGGTTGGCCATCGGCAGTGACGACTGTCCATTCCGTTGCCTAACCAAGTTCAGAATCGGGCCTGGTGCCATGGAGGTGGAGTTTGCAGCAGGAGGCATGCTAATGCTCCGAACCGTTCGTTTGGACCTCCATGTGCGGCATACCTTGGATCAGTTTGGCGACTTCGAGTGTGGCCTGGAGAGCCTCTCCTCGCTCGACCGTGCTGTTGTTCATATGAACTGTTACCGTGCAGAGCTTGAGGAGGTGGAGGAGGGGAGGCTTCGATACGTAAAGCGCTGGACTTGAATCACAAAAGACCCACGCTTGAGCTGGAGAAGGTAGCGTAATTTTGCATACCTTATATATGTTTGGTTGCTCGTTTATTTATTTCGTCTCGTTTATAACACTTCTTACTTACATCTGCATGACTTGTCAACTGAAGCATTGTTGCTCATGGAGATCTGGCTGATGTGGTATCTTTGATGCGTATTTAAGCTGAATAGCTGATATTATATATACTGTCATGGATCAATCCTCGCAACTCAAATGTGTCACGCTTGAGCCTCGTTCATATTGCTGGTATGGTTTGAATCTTTGTTTTTTTTGGAAAACAAGCTGAATTTTAATCATTTGCGCTCATTCCAGTATTGTTTAGTAACTGAAACCAAAACTTGTGTTTCCTAGTTCAGATTCAGAATACAGGGAGAGGGCAAGACGAAGAAGCATCCTCAGGAATCAGGAGGTGCTGGGCCCGATTATCTGAGAACCACCAAAGGTTAGCTCCTGGGCCCACATGCAGAGATAACAGGAGACAGGAGCGTGGGAGTGTATGTATGTAAGCCGGAGCGGGTGGCCAGAATCGCGCCACCTCAGAGCCCAGGATTTAATCTAATCCAAAAAGCCATCCGGTCTCACTGCCCTGCTCCATTCCATTTGCTGCTAGCTTTGGTTAGTTTCGTCTGCTTCTCCTCCGTCCATTCTCCCGTGCACTTCCCGTCCCAAGCCCCCATCTGCAGGCTGCTCTAACCAGCTGCAGAGCCGCTCCACATCTCCAATGGCCACCTTGTCCGCCATCTCCGCCAAGGCCGGCTACTGCAAGGCACCAACGCTGAGCTGGAAGGTAATAAATACTGAAATACTAGTAGCATCTCTTTTTGTTTCCTCCTATCTTTTTGTGTGCTTGTTTTTACATATTTACGTTACATCACTGCCCAAGCTGTGTTTTGGTTGGTCGGTGGACATTATAACCAGTTACGTGTGCCAGTGTATGAAATCCATACTCCAAGGCAATGTGTTGTGTGGACGACACTGAAGCTAGCACTGTGGCAGGTGTAGGTTCTAGTACGTTTTCTGTAGGTTTTGCATGCGCCAGTACAAGCGTAATCAGCGAGGCCAATGTCGATGGTTACATGAAACAGGGGACTGTGTATGTAACGGAAAAGCAGCACCAGCAACAAAAAGCGTAGATAGCAAATCCGTGTAGATCCCGCGTTTTGTCGGCCACTCAACAGAATATGAACGTTGCCGTTGCCGGTAGCAGTTATCCCCTTCTCCAGATCCTTGTCCTGAAGAGGTACGGCGGTCAGCAGGGGTGCAAATAGTAGTATTTGGTACTACATCCTCGTTCCCTTCACGAGGTGCATCGTACTTTTTGGGTTCAACATGCTCGTATTTTGGATGAAACCGCGCTGTCCAACGCCATACTATCTGTTTGCACATTTTTCCCGGTTTCAGACCTAGTAGTAGTTGCATATTATATTAGCATATATGTATGTGTCCCTTGATATATATATACACTACAGTACAGTACCATTTTTGTTATTACATTCCAACTGATGTATGTGCTCCCTCCCACCCTGAATGAATGGCTGAATGCCTGAACCTGTTCTCTGCCTCTTTTAACTGAAACCTGCAGGGAAGCAGAGTTTCAGGCCGGAATGTGGTCTCCATGGCGACCACCCAAAGAGGCGGCCTCGTCTCCCTAAGATCCCCACGGTTTCGTGTCTACGCGGTAACGTTTTATTTGATCGATTTCCTGTACGTGCACTTCTTGACCCTGCTGATTACATACCCCTTTTTTATCGATCTGAACTGTATTGTATGCTGCGCATATATATATGTATATGCAGGCGAAGGCGGAGACGGTGAGCAAGGTGATGGACATCGTGAAGCAGCAGCTGGCGCTGGCGGCGGACGTGGGACTGACGGCGGAGTCCAAGTTCGTGGACCTGGGCGCCGACTCGCTGGACACGGTGGAGATCGTCATGGCGCTGGAGGAGGAGTTCAAGATCACCGTCGAGGAGGACAACGCCCAGAGCATCACAACCATCCAGGAGGCCGCCGACCTCATCGACAAGCTCGTCGACCAGAACCCAGCAGCGCCGGCGGCATGAGAGACAGATACGAGTATATTATTCATCTCTCTAGCTACAGATATGCATGGACGGATGGAAGATAGAGTTGATACCTACCATCATCATCGTTGCCAGGATTTTCACTTGTTTTGTTTCTTCTTTAATTTCCCAAAACATTAGCTAGCGTCGTTGTTGTTCGACGACAGACACTATAGCCAGCTCTCCTTTTAATTTCCGAAACTTTTTAGCTGTTTGTGACGAGTGTGGGTTTTTTTGTTAGCAGAAGATGATTGATGAACATGCTACGCGCTAGTGCACATGATTTTAGCTTGCAAGTGGCAACTTTTGTGCCCAACGAACCGGAATTGGTCGACATGCACGTACGTGTTCAGGTACTGCCATACTTCTGCCAGTAGTGACCTGTACTATGTTAGCTATGTAAGGCTCCAATCTTCAAATCCATATTGGCCCTTGTTTAGTTCCACCAACTTTACACCACCAAAGTTTATATAGTGCAAGGTTCTTTATCACATCACATCACATCAAATCTTTGAACATACGCATGGAGTATTAAATGTAGGTAAAAAAATAACTAATTATACAGTTTGGTTGTACTTTGCGTGAGACGAACGTTTTAAGCCTAATTAGTCAACGGTTGGACACTTATTACCAAATATAAACGAAATGCTACAGTACCGCTACAGTGCACATTGTTTTTTTGGATGTGCAAAGTTTGGGCAACTAAACGCACCCCCTCGTTCGCCCCTCCCTCCAAGGCTCCAATCATAAACTTTGTCAGGCTGTCAGCTTTGTTTCTGATGAATGATTCACGCCTTGTTTAGTTCCACCCCAAATTCTAAAAAGTTGCTACAGTACCTGTCACATCGAATGTTTGCGGCCCGTGCATGGAGTATTAAATGTAGACGAAAAGAAAAACTAATTGCACAGTTTGGTGGGAAATTGCGAGACGAACGTTTTGAGCCTAATTAGTCCATGTTTGAACACTATTTACCAAATAAAAACGAATATGCTACAGTAGCCCTAAAATCTAAATTTCGCGAACTAAACAGGGGCTCAGAATACTCCGGAGTTTATTTGGGCAGTGATGCTGCCCTACGGTACGGGCTATATGGTGAACAAAAATACGGAGCCTGCAACCTTTTGCAGTGAGGGGACGTGCAGCGCAAAGCTAGCGACCTTGTTCCTCTCCGACAGACCAGATGAAAACGTAAATTCTATGTTTTACTGCGTTACGTATCGGTAGTGAATGAATGAATTATCCCTTTACATAGATCCCATAAGCTGAACCCTTTTTAACCTCTCGTCTCCTTTTTATTTAAAAGAATATTAGATGGAGTAACAAATACGTTTTGCAAGAGCCTGCTTAACTTACCTTTCTAGCCCAACAAAAGTCTCTCTCACGAACCATACTCCCCCTCCCAAAATAAGCGCACATCTCGCATCCCAACGAGTCAACTCAACTCAAGTTTGATCGTCCCCTCAAAGAAATACTCAAGTTTGATCAAATATATACCAAAATATACTAAATAAATATTATTAGATTAGTTATGTTATTTATTTTCATAGTAAATTTATTTAGAGATAGAAATATCAATACTATTTTCTATAAATCTAGTCAAAGTTAAATTCGTTTGACTCCTCGGGATTTGAGATGTCCACTTATTTTGGGACGGATGAAGTAGTATAATAATATTTTTTTATGCATTCCTCCCTACAACTAATTAATCAAATGCAGTTATGCATGAGTTTTAGATCTCGTCGAGCACTGTTACTTTTGATATAGAGTGTGTCTCTATCCAAGGTCATTTGAAAACTTTAAAATTTAAAATCTAATAACTTCATTTATATATGGAACCCTAAATGATCTCAAACAAAACTTTTTGTCAACTACAAAGTTTTAGATCTCGCCAAGCTATACAATTTTAATATAAATTTTATCTTTATCTGACTTCATTTTGAAAATGTTATGAACTTATTTTGTGCCTCGGCTATTTTTAAGGACAATTGACTTAGTCAACTAACCCTTAAAAATCAATTTCTAGGGATGGTGGTCTTAACAAAACCGCTCCTAAAAATCATCTAACTTCATAGGCAGTTGACATAAGCAACTGTCCCTAAAAATATAGTAAACCGTTATTGAAAAATATACCTATTTTTAGGGACGATCGATTCAAAAGAACCGCCCCTGGAAAATGGGTTTCCACAGGCGGTTTGTAAGCTATAGGTGTGAAAGTGGTGTGGATAACTCACCACTCGGATTTGAATCCGAAATTTTAGGATATGGAGAAGAATTTTTAATATCCATGCGGATACGGATAATTCGAATCCGATTATATGCGGATGCAAAGTAGGATTCGAATAGGCAAAATCTGCCGATTGTGGATTGTCCCCAAATTCTATGTAGATTATCTGATGCTTAAAATAGGATATGCGATATCTACTTCTTTCACTTGACGAAAACCAAGAGGACCGAAGGATTTAGAAAAAGCTTGTTAGTAGAGAACACTAATTTTGTGATGTGGTTGTTTGAAGTTCTAGGTTTTGAATTGAGAATTTGCTGGATGTTATTACTTATTGGTTAATAACTTATCATTTGTGAGTGAAGATACCATGTTAGGTGTTAATTGTGTCCGTATGATAGCAACAACATGGAATGCGACGCAGGATTATTATCCATTTCTTATTCTTGGTTCTTTAAATCACTTGGTGACAAGCATAAAATTCTCTATATATGCACGTATTACTCGACTATTTAAATTTGTCTTTGATCCAATTCCGCTCCATATTTGTACCAGTTCCGATATTTGAAAAAAAATCTGCATCTGCATTCACATCGTGTATTATCTGCTCCGCTTCGAATCCGACTAAGAAAAGCGGATTAGGATATGAGGAGGCATTTTCGTTTTCATCCCTAGTAAGCCCCAGTGCTCATAGAGCTAGTTAAAATCAGTTTGCTGTGTAGGGCGTCTTTGGAAAAATAAGAGACGCCTATAAAAATAGTTTGTGCTAGTGACCTATGATTTTCATGCTTCAGTAATAGCAAGTTTGGCCGGATCTTCTTTCGAAACATCAAGTATTTGTGAACCCTGGAGTAGCTACACCCCGATCATCAAATAACTTTTTTTTTGCTCTGAATAACGAAGAATATAGCTCACTCTATCAAGGAAAAAAGAAGTTCACTAACATAAGCCTCATCAATAAAAAAAAGGGGAAAAAACAAGACGCTTGACACACGGGAATAATTGAGGAAGTCCCTGTCCCTTCTTTCAGTTTCAAGAAAAGGGTTGTGGTTCACCCGAATCCTAGAAGAAACTGGAAGGTTCATTCTTTCCTATGGTCAGGAAAACTCTGTCTACAGTGACGTATCTATTGATTCTGTTCTCAGACAATTTTTTTTCTCAAAACAAAATACGAAAGCATATGTTCATATACACATGTGCAGTGCCACATAACACGCATACTCTACCTTATTAAGATCTTAGGTTGGCGGATCTTGCCATCTTGACGTTGATAAATTTAACTAAAAATCTCTGTCAACCGTTTGTCTACCACTGAAAAAAATAATTAGCCAAAAATATGAACTTTTGTCTCGAGCTTAGTTTTCTCTTTTATTTTTTCTTAATTGATTTGCTTGTCATTTTCTTAATTGATTTGTTTGTCAGGTTGCACCTATGTTTGAGCTCGGTTAAGCATTAAGGGCCTGTTTAGATGCAAGGGCTAAAAAATAGCATTTCCCTTTTAGCCATTAGAGACCCAAACAGGAGGGCTAGATTTTGGGGGGGCATCTTTAGCCCTTCGTTAGCTCATTAGCGCATGTTTGGATCCCATGGCAAAAGTTTAGTCTTACACTTTTAGCCCTTTTTTGCCATGGGGAACCAAATAGGTGGGCTCAAAGTGAGCAAATGAGCAGGACTAAGTTTAGTCCATTTGCTCCACAAGGGGCCCTAAACTGGGCTAAAAGTGCCTTAGAGGGCGCACTGGACACCCCATACCTCCCACCCACCCACCCGACGCTCTCATCCCTTAATTAAATGAGGGGCAAATATTAAATGAGGAGCAAATCAGTCATTGTATGATGAAGGACTAAAGTTTAGCCCAGTGATCCAAACGGTCCAGCAAGGTTTAGGGGCTAAACTTTAGTCTATGGACTAGTGATCCAAACAAGGTCTTAGTATCTTTAAGTTGGGTTAAAGAGGGCTAAAAGTACTAACATGTGACTTTTACTGACTTTCTCTCTCTTCTCCCTTTCACCTTTTAGTCACCTTTATTTAAGCTTTAGTCACGTATCCAAACAGCCTAAGAGACTAAGCTTTCGTCCCTTCATTTTAAGAACTACTCTTTAGCCCTACACTAAACTTTAGCTAAGGGGATCCAGAGAGGGCCTAAATGAAGTAGCAATATATATGGAGCCAACTTGCCAGCCAAACACTAGCGCTAACAGAATGATTTCATAAAGATGAACCAGCTTCGGGCAGGTGTTCTACTGCTGCCTATAATACAAAGGTACTTGTTCGGGCCTTGTTTTGATTGCAATTTTTTACAATCTGGACACTGTAGCACGTTTCGTTTGTATTTGACAAACTTTGTCCGATCATGGACTAACTAGGCTCAAAAGATTCGTCTCGTGATTTACAACCAAACTATGCAATTAATTATTTTTTTTATCTACATTTAATACTCTATGCATACGTCCAAAAATTGATGTGATAAAGAGAGAGTGAAAAAACTTAAAACTTTGAGGCAATCTAAACAAAGCCTCGGTTACGAAGCAAGGTTGTGTGTGATGTTGCCGGGAGCAGTAGTTGGTAATAATGAGTTCGATGCAGCTATTCCGCAGTTAGTGTTTGTACAGTATGTGTGTGTGAGAGATCTGTAGCCAAAGCTAGCTAGATTGGGTACCGAATGGGCCCAAATAAGAGCAGCCCCAACGCACCAGCGTGGCAAGTAGCACTAACCTTCCATCCACGTAGACTCAAAGCTCTATGTCATAGGTAATGGTGGTTTCGCAAAGCAATAGAGTATCATGCAGAAGCAGTAGCTGCCCCAACTGACACAAGGCTACACCCCACCAAAACTTGCGATGGGAGAGAGATGCTGCCTCAAAAGTGGGATGGGAACGGATCGGATTCGCATGGGATCCGATTCGCCGGATGTTACCTTTTACCACATTTCAATTCAGATTCGAATATGAATACGAATCTTTTTGAATATAAATAAAAACCGGATGTCTCAGATCCATATTTCTATTCGGATATTTACTTAATTCAACTCAAAAGTGCATATTGTTAAATTCAACATACATGAATAGAATTTGACTACTAAGTTCGTCGGTAACCAAAATGAAATAAGATAAAAGTAAACTTGTAATAATCTCTAGTATTTAAGTGAACTAAATTATAATGAATAATATTAATTAAAATGATAGGTTACGTAAATAAATTTAAATAAGAATGGTAGGCAACAAGTAGCCATTTTGCTTTATCAATTTTTTATAATTACAAAATTATTACACAATAGAGAATAAAGTATGTGGGTATATAACATAGAAGCTTATAAAAAATATTATAGTTATATATAAATATTTAGTAATTAAATATATCAATTAATCAATTATTACTTGTATAATATTTAGCATGAAATTATAAATTATGTAAAATAATTAACATTAATAATAAATAAATTAAAGTACTAAAGTAATTTACAAAAACAATTATATTAGATTTAAACTAAATTAAAAATACTAAATCCATTTAATATTTATGTATCATTAATAATATTAAATTAATATTAAAAGTTACTTATAGATATACTACTAAATAGTTTCAATGCATTGTTAGTAATATTGAAATTAAATAATTAGTCACTAGTCATGAGAGAAAACTTTTAAGTAGATTTATGGGGGAATTCTTTGTGTGCTATTAAAAAAGACCGTGATGTCCTTGGAAAAGTTTAGCGGTCTTTAGCGCCACTGCTCTAACTTTTTTGTGCCCTCCATGCCACTGCCGTCAGTCTGGGCTCTAACGCCGTCAACCTGCAGATGTGAAAAGTCTAAAATACCCTTAAGTCTATATATGTCATTATTTTTTTGAGCATCTTAACGACTTCAAATGAAAAAACTCAAAACTAGAAAATTGTAGATCTCGTCGAGATCTATAATTTTCATATAAAAATTATCTTCATTTAATTCCGTAAAAAATATGATTTGATATGATTAATATATCTTAGAAAAATCATATCTTTTTTGTGGAATTAAATAAAGATAATTTTTATATGAAAATTATAGATCTTGACGAGATCTGTAACTTTTTAGTTTTGAGTTTTTCCATTTGAAGTCGTTAAGATGCTCAAAAAAAATTAATAACATATTTAGACTTAAGGGTATTTATAACTTTTCACACCTACATTTTGACGGCGTTAGAGTTCAGACTGACGGCAGTGACATAGAGGGCATAAAAAAATAGGAGCAATGACGCTGAAGACCACTGAACTTTTTCAGGGGCACACATGGCATCGTGATCTTTTTTAATGGCACACAAGGAATTCCCCCTTTATGTATTGTGCCTCGTTCTTCGCAGATACGGATAAATGTCGAATATTCCATATTTTTGTCGCATACGGATCCAAAATCAGATAGAGAAAAATAATGAAAAATAAAATCAGATACATCCATTTAGCATCATATTAGAAATGGACGAATATGGATATCCATGTTGCATGTTTTAACGGATACAGATTCGGATTTCCATACGTCTATTTATATTCCTAAGAGCCCATGTGCTTGCTGTCACCATTGCTTTAGCTGATTTGTTTGGCTTATAAACTATGATTAAAAGTACTATTAGCTGATTTAAGATAAAAAAATACTATTTATTAACTAATAAGTCATAATTTATAAGTTAAATATGACCCAACGAAACATGTTGGTTGTTGCTGCCTGACGAAAATGGATATAGGTAAATGCAAAGCAGAAAGCAGTGCAGAATCCAAGGACGTGTTCAACTGGCTTTAAGCCGGCTAATTGGCTGGCCAACCAACTCATAGAATCACTATTTACATCATATCAAAGCAATATTTTTATTTGACAACAATTAATCAAAACAATATTTTTCAATCCTGCCGCCCCAAGCCGCAGCACTGGCAGGGGAATCCAAGCCGGAGCGTGACATCAGCCTACAGCCGCGCCGCCATGTCGTATGTGTAGTGTAGCCTTGTGTGCACCCTACCCAACGCGAAGAGCCCCGGCAAGACGTGTCCGCATCGAGCACCGTCCAACTCAAACCCCAACGGCCGGATCCGACCCGGCGTGCTCTACATATCCGTCCCGTCACCCCGCTTCCCCTCTTCCTCTTCGCTTTTCTTCCCCCCAAATCTCGCGTGCTTGTCTGTCTCCGTGTCCTGCTCCGCCCCGCTTCCCCCAAGCGCGTGCGCCTCCGATCCAGCGGGTTCCGGCGCTGCGCCCGTCGATTGACGCGATTCGTCTGCCAGGGTACCGGCCGGCGCCTGCGCGCCCCGCGGATCGAGCACCGGGGTCGCCGGATTTGGGCGCCGCGGACGAGACCTAGCTCGGCGCCGGAGTTTGTGACGGAGCTAGCTTTGGCGTGGTTGGTGGAGGGGAGGGGGAGGAGGAGGAGGAGGAGGAGGAAGGGAGCGGTCGGTCTCATATGCGCGTGACGGTCACGCCCAAGGACGAGGAGAGGATGGTCGGCTTGATGGCGCGGGAGCGGCCGCGGTCGGCGGTGGTTGCGGCGGGCGGAGATTTGGTCACTGCCCCCGGCGGGGGCGAGGGGTCTGATGGGGACTCGTCGGGGTCGATAGAGGAGATTTCAGCTGACGACTTCAGGAAGGACTCGTCGTCGGCGTTGGGCGGCGCCGCCGCGGCGGCGCCGGCGGGGCCGAGATCTAGGTCTTGGGTGGGCCCGCCCGCCGTGGGTTACATGGCGCGGAACTTTGGGCACGCCTTCAACAGCTTCGCGTGGTCGCAGGCCGTGCGGAACAAGCCGCTCGGACTACAGCCGCCGCCTGCCCCGGACGAGGACGAGGTGGAGCACGCCGTGGACGCTGCCTCCGATGGGGAGAAGGAGGAAGGCGAGATTGAGGAGGGGGAGGCTGTGGAGGCCTCGGCCTCGCCTGCCCGTGTGCAGCCTGAGACCATCGACTTGGACGCTGACGCGCCGGAGAAGTCAGAGTCGGTGGCTGGTGACGTTGCCGGTGCTGTGCCTGCCTCAGCTGCTGAGGAAGAGGAGGTGAACCTTGATCAGCGTGTCGGCAGTATACTGGAGGAGCTCGAGATGGTCTCCATTGAGGAAGCTGAGAAGTATGGACAGATGCTTCATGTTTTTGCTGAACAAAGGCTTCGTTTCGGACGAAGACTGAGAAAACCGGTTGTAACTGCTGCAATGTTGTGCAGGTCGTTTGAGGGTGCATGTAGACGACTCCATACCTGCTTCGAGAACCTGAAGCCGCTGTTCCAGGAACTGGAGAACGGGAGCCCGATGGCTATACTTGAACCCCTCATGCAGCAGGCGTTTATTGGAATTGACACACTGACCACTGTAAGGCCAGGCCTACACCAAATGTTGGTTGGTACCCTCCCTTGATGTAGGGCTGATGCTTGTTGCGTACTGCAGGTGGCGATTTCGTATAACTTGCCAAGGAGTGAGCAGAATAAGACAACACTATTGAAGTATGCAATTGATCTTCAGCTAATTATTAACAGTTGAAAACTGCCACCACCACTTTTGTAACTGACATGATGCCCATTGAATGATGCAGGTCGTTGTTCCACATAAAGAACAGATATTCAGACATGCTGACGCCTGAGCAGCGTGATGAGGTTAGTAATGTCTCCATTCCGTTTTGTTGCTTATGTGCTGAATGCTGAAGCCGCAACCTCAAATTTCTGTCCTGTTCCTGTGTATCAGTTGGACAGCCGCGTGAGGAAGTTAGTTTTTGGAGAAAAAGACAATGTCAGTGACCCAAGTACAAGTGGCACCAATGCAATAAATGTTCTGGCTCCATCTGGGCAGGTTTCATCCTCAGGAGGACTGCCATTTGAATCAGGTGCAGCAAATCCATTTAGTAGCTTGATGAGGTTGGAAGTACCTGCCAAAAGGATTAGTCCCTTGTTGGATCTTCATGCAGATTATGATGAGAACAGCTTACCATCACCAACCAGGGATAATGCACTGCCTTTTCCTGTGCCAAAGCCTATTGGTTTTGGAGCATTTCCAATGGCACCTGAGAAGTTATCTTTCCCAGAAAGAGTTGAGCCTGCAAAGAATTCGTTATATCCATCCTTAAATGATCCTCTAAAGGCTGTCTCCTCATATCAGCAGAAGTATGGGCAGAAATCTGTATTTCCAAGTGATGATCTACCAAGTCCAACTCCATCTGGTGATGAGGGTAAATCTGCAGATAAAGGTGGTGACATATTTAGTGAGGTTTCCAGCTTCCCTGTTCCAAAGAGTATTGCATTACCAAGTACAAGCCAGATGCCTGCTTCTCAACCTAGCACAGTCAGCAGCAGTGGTATTAGTTATGCATCTGGTCCACCTGGTTTTGCTAAACAAATTGAGCAGTCGGCTGCAGGTCCAAATCATGCAACTAAGGCAGCATCTAAAAGTAGAGATCCGAGGCTCAGGTTTTTGAACCGTGATTCTGCTGGTGCTACAGACGTGAATCGGCGTGCAAATTTTTCAGAACTGAAGGATGGGAACCTGGGTGGAGCGTCAATTGGTAACCGTAAACACAAAGCAGTTGATGATCCTCAGGTAGATGAAAATGCGTTAAAAAGATTTAGGGGTGGAACGGCGAATCCTAGAGACATGCAGCCTACAAGGAATCCCAATCAGCTTATAAACATTAGGGCTCCTACAAATAGTAGCGGTATCAATATGAAAACTCTGCAACCCCCTCAAACTACTGCTCCACATCCCAGTGCAGGTCCTGCTGTCCCGTTGCCTTCTATGTTGTTAAAGGACATTGCTGTGAACCCAACATTGCTGATGCATTTGATCCAAATGGAACAACAAAAGAAGTCAGCATCAGAAACTCAGGGTGGCATGTCTAGTGGGATGACCAACAATGGAATTGCAGGCACGGTTTTCACACCTGGCAATGCTCCGAAGACTACAGAAGCTGCACAAGTCCCCTCTGTTAGGCCACAGGTCCCAGTGCAGACACCTCCTTTGGTAAAGCTCTTTGTACTCTTAAGCGTCTTCTGTTGATACTTGACTACTTGTATACATCATTTATTTGCTTGATAGCTATTTCCTTTGGATCATTATATTCTGTAGTTTTAATGTGCTTATTAAGTGGTTAAATGATTAGAACCTGGGGTTGTCTCTTGTGATCCCATGTTGGCTCGTATGTTGTGTTAGTCAATAATTAGGTGTGTTAGTCAATAATTATGTGTGCTATCTTTACATTTAATGCCAGCTCTTTTTAGAGTATTTTACTAACTTTTGCTATTTCTGTAGGACTCACAAAATGATGGTGGAATCGTTCGCATGAAGCTCCGTGATCCACGGCGCATCCTACACAGTAACATAGCACAGAAATCTGACGCAATGGGCTTGGAGCAAGTGAAAATTAATGGAATTACCCAGCCAGACTCTCAGGGCACCAAGGACCAGACTAGTTCAATGCCTTCTCAACCAGCTTTGCCATCTAGCATTGCAAGGCCATTCGGCAGCACAAAACATGTTGATCCTGTCTCTAATTCACAGTTAGCTGCTACAGCTATTATGGCTCCTACACAACAAGCTTTGGGCAGCATAAATAAGGTGGACCCAAGACTAGCAGTTGAACAGAATGGACAAAATGCTGATGCAACAACAAATGATGCTTCTGCAACAGCACTTGAAGCTACGCAGCCTGTTAGCCCATGGGGTAATCTTGATCATCTCCTTGATGGATATGATGATAAGCAAAAAGCTCTGATACAGAAGGAAAGGGCAAGACGAATAACAGAACAGCACAAAATGTTCTCAGCGCGAAAGCTAAGCTTGGTGCTTGATTTGGATCACACCCTTCTTAATTCTGCAAAGGTATATTGATATTTTGGCGTATGAGGTTATGAGTTTAAAGTTGCTTAATTATTTTTCTGTTCATGCTGCCCATACCTTTTCAGTTTATAGAAGTGGAACCCATTCATGAAGAGATGTTACGGAAGAAAGAGGAGCAAGACAGGACTTTGCCAGAACGTCATCTCTACCGTTTTCATCATATGAATATGTGGACGAAGCTGAGGCCAGGAATATGGAACTTTCTTGAGAAGGTTTGCTGTGTTCGCATTTTTTTTGTGCAGAATTAAGTGTTTTTGCTCTGCTGTTAATTTTTGATCTGTGATGATTTGTGCAGGCTAGTAACCTATTCGAGTTGCATTTATACACTATGGGAAACAAACTGTATGCTACCGAGATGGCCAAGGTTCTTGATCCAACTGGGACCTTGTTTGCTGGACGAGTCATATCAAGAGGTGATGATGGTGATCCCTTTGACAGTGATGAGCGAGTGCCGAAAAGTAAAGATCTGGATGGGGTACTGGGTATGGAATCTGCAGTCGTGATCATAGATGATTCTGTAAGAGTCTGGCCTCATAACAGGCACAATTTGATAGTTGTAGAGAGGTATGCGTCAATGCTTTCGTTCTTCCTAATGAACTGTTGTCAAATGCATCTGCCTAATCCCCTTTCCATGCGATTTTCTGCAGATACACCTATTTCCCCTGCAGCAGACGTCAATTTGGCCTTCCTGGACCATCACTTCTAGAGATTGACAGAGACGAGAGGCCTGAGGATGGTACCCTTGCTTCGTCACTTGCGGTATGGTACTTTTTTCTCAACATATGTACCAACATGTGAACTTTGATTATACTCACGTGGTTCTCATTCTGGAAATAGGTCATTGAGAGAATCCACCACAATTTCTTTTCACATCCTAACCTCAATGAGGCTGATGTGCGGAGCATACTAGCATCTGAGCAGCGAAGGATCCTTGCTGGTTGTCGTATTGTCTTTAGCCGGGTTTTCCCAGTTGGAGACGCCAGCCCCCACTTGCATCCTCTGTGGCAGACTGCGGAGCAGTTTGGTGCGGTCTGCACAAACCTGGTTGATGACCGGGTCACTCATGTTGTTGCCAACTCCCCTGGGACAGACAAGGTGAATTGGGCATTATCCAAAGGCAAATTCGTGGTGCATCCAGGATGGTGAGGAATATTGCTACTTCTATTTACATGAGTATTTTCTTTTCTATTTTATGACCTTTTTTTTTCTAACTTGTCGAGATAACCCATCACTTGATTGAAATTCTGTATCATGTTTGCCATAAACAGGGTAGAAGCTTCAGCTCTGTTGTACCGGCGCGCCAACGAACATGACTTTGCAGTCAAATAACACCCGTCCTGAGCCCCAATTCATCATATAGGCTCCAGGGAAGATTTCTTCTCGGGACGGGATATGTTCATGGTAACCTAACGTGATTAAAAAAAACCATAACAACATATCTAAAACAGGACCATAGTAAGAAGGAAAACGACCACCAAAAGAATTCCAGGCCTTAAAAGAAACGGTAACGAAGAAAACGCTTTATGAAAGCCTGGAAAAGGGGACTGGGTCTGTGGTGGATGTCATTACCGAGGTGGTGAGTATTTGGTCAAGATGTCTTTTAGAAAGAGCCAGCAAAGATGCGCGAAAAGTTGAAGATGAGCTGATGCTCACCGCCTCATCATCCTTTGTAACTTGTAGCAGTAAAAGTGGTGCAGTTTTGGTAATAGTCCTAGGTTCAGAAATGTTGCTTCAGGCCAAAGGGATTTGGGGGTTTTTGCCCGTTTTGGTAGCTGCCGCTTGTCGCCCATCGAAAGTGTGACCTGAACTGACAACGGCGGCATGAATCCTGGGACGGGGCATTTATAGGATGGGTTTGCTATGTCAGTATTTGTGTGTGTGTTAGCTTGGGTGTAAAGCTGGTTCCGTCTGTGCCGTCGAACGCTGCAAAGGCACGTGGACAGGGACACCTGGGGCTGCGCCTGCTGCTCTCCTAAACGTACTCTTTTTTTTCGAAACTGAAGGCCGAAAAGAACCGTTTGTTCAGTTGGTTCAGGTGAAGGGGTTGAAGAATTCATGGCGTCAGAGAAGAACCAGTTGGTTCAGGTAAATGGGTTGAAGAATTAATGGCGTCAGAGAAGAACGCAGAGGTTGTGATGGGTTGGTTGCTATTCCGAAAAGGAAACGCGTGACATGGTGAGTGTCAGCGAATCTAGGGCCACGTCATGAAAACCGACTGCATCGTCTTCTAACCGAAAAGGCCAAAAACCGTTATGATTTAACCGTATCTGCGAGAATTGATTCTTTTGGGTTGATAATTGCTGACGGTTTTGGTTTTTGTTTTTGTTTTTGTTTTCCAAACAAGCTTTGGTTTGCGGCCTTACTGACAAGTATGTTTTAGCCATTTTGGTTGTTTCAACTTTCAATGGGATTTGGAGAACGATCATCCGTGCTAAAACTTTTTTTTTTTGCAACTTTCAACTTCATACGTAAGAAAAAGGTATACTTATGATCTTTTGAACGACATAGACATTTTTTCTGTTGTAGGTAAAATAAAAATGCTATTTTCCAGAAAAACCTCCACATTGAATCTAGGATCACCATTATTGCACAATCACATGACCATGTAATGACTATTTACTAGTTAGATACACTTATTATCGGTGTAGAAAGTGACTAATACGTAAATATTTGTAGTTTTGCTGTACGTTATGATCGGAGGTGGCCTAGCACTCAATGACATAGGGTTTATACTGGTTCAGGCAGCGTGCCCTACGTACAGTTTGAGTCGGTCGGTGACTTTATTCCTAAGCCAGATGCTCGAAGTTTGCTGTGAGGTTACAAACGGAAGGGAGAAAGATGGGGGTACAAGAGGTCCAGTCGGATTCCAGTCTAAAAGGCCGAGAGTGACGGGAGCTCCACTATGTGATAAGTGTTTGAGCGTGTGCTCGAGGTTTGAATCTAGTGGTTCTCCTGTTGTGTGTGTTGTTTAAGTTGTTGTGAACCGATCGATCTATCTGTTTGGGAGAGAGTGCATCCTCTTTTATAGATGAAAGGGGTGACCTTACAAGTGAGAGGAAGAGAGTGTACGTATGCTAAGTCTTGTTGTCCACGTTATCGGGTACAGGATGATTTGTAGGTGCCTAAATGTCATATGCATATGGGAGGTCGCGTCGTCTTCTTTAGGTATGGCAGACGTCGGTGCCTGCCATACTGTTGATATCCAGAGACATGTAAGGGGTTTTACCATGTTCATCTGGTACGGTAAATGCTGGCGTCCACAACATTGTTGATGCCTCAGAGGCACGTGGGGGGAGCCTTACCATATTTGTCTGGTATGGGAGTTGATGGCGCCCATAACATTATAGGGGAAATGTCGGCACCTACAACACTGCTTGGGTTCTGTCATGCCAGGAAGGTCGCAGGGTACTGTCCGGCAGGTGTATATGGTATGGTCCTTGGTATTGTGGTTGACTTGAGTGTCCTGCCTTACTTTCTTTGTCCGTTTCCTGGTCCTTACCGAGCGGGCGTCCCCGGTCGGTTGGTCCTAGTCGACTCTGATTGCGCCAGTCGGAGAGCAGCTGTAAGCAGGGGTTCGACGCATTCCCGGTCGGAGAAGCGGGCCGGAGTCGGAAATGGTGTTTTGGCCAGGCCTTTCGATCGGAGAGGCCATCCGAAGGTGGGCCGGTGTCGGAAGCGAGCGTTGTTCCTCCTTTGTGAGGCCTTTCGGTCGGAGAAGCGGGCTGGAGTCGGAAGCGGACATCGTTCCTTCTCGGTTAGGCCTTCCGGTCGGAGATTGGATTGTCCTTCTGGCCTATTGTTTAGGTGTTTGGGCCGGCCCATGAGTTGCGCGTCGTTTGCAACGTTGTCTGCTGGGCCGAGCCTTTGTTGGGAAGCCGGTCCATGAGAGACCCTGGATCTATGAACCCGACACTTATAGTCAGATATACTTGATAACCATTTTTTTAGAACAGTCATGTTATTGCTTGACGGGACTATATATTAAAAGACTTACCATTTTATAGAACAAGTCATACGGTGATAGTTTCCTTAAAAAATGTTAAAACTTATTGTTTCACATATTAGTAAACAAGTATTCACAAGAAAATATTAGCATAAAATGAACATGAAACAATGCATGATCCATCCAAATGCCAAGTTGTAATATTAAAAGCATATCCAAGATTCTTTCTTAAACTCTCTCTAAATCATCATTTGGAGAGTCATTTGTAAAAAATCATTATCTATATCTTTTCACTTTTCTAGTAGCTTTTTCTATTTTTGGCTAGCAAGAAATTCGAAATAGGGTAATATTTGGTACTTTTTTCCATCAAAATCTCTATTTTTATTAATTAGAAAGAATATAAAGAGGCTCTTATGCTCTCAGGGCGTGCACTCTGTATAAGGTAGAATCAGACTCTAAGGGCATGCGGGGTGTATAAGGTAGAATAAGACTTTAAGGTACAATACAATGATGTGGTTGAGGCCCACCTTTCAAAATAAGGGCCAAATGTTGTGCATAGCATTCATAAGACGTCCTAGAAAAATTGTCGCCGGGCTACTATTTTTTTTAAGTTTTGCTTCTGCCTTTATGAAAGCAATGTGATACATGATTCTGCTGGGGCTACCAGCTACAGAAACAAATCCAAAAGCGCTAAGCCTAGTACAGCACTTAGATTTCAACGACATCAGTAGGTGTAATAGAGCTAGGCTAGAAATTCTTGAGCCAACGCATGACTGCATCCTTCACTTGATCGAAGCGCTTCCTGTCCCATTCCTTAAGCAAGATCCTCCAACTCTGCCTCAAGGATATAGCAACGTAGATCACATCAGTTGGTGTTCTAGGAAACTCTCAATCGCCATCTTATTCTTGGACGTCCACATAGGCCATGCAAAACATGCAAAAGTGAAGATGAGCATTCTAATTGGTAAGGGCCCCTTTGAAGACTTTTGCAAGCATATTCTAGATAAACTTAGCTATATGACATTTGAAAAAAAAAACGATCCACAAATTCCACTTACAAATGAAACAATCATGTCTGTTCCAACTCCTTTTGATGAGACTCTGAGCCACCTGTAGTTTGTTATTGAACACTTGCCACAAAAAAAACTTAATTTTCAAAGGAGCCTTGCCTTTCCAAATATAGCCAGCCACCTTGCTAGCTACCCTCTGTCAGTCATGAATGTATATAGAGACTTAGTAGAGGAATTCTTATTCTTATTCAAGGCCAGGCACCAGAATCCTGATGACTATTTAGGGTGATATTCTCCAAGTCATCAAACAACTCCAACCATCTATTATACTCTTGCATAGATAAGGATCTCCTAAAATCTATAATCCACTGTCCCTACCGGACACTCAGGTTCTCTCACCATTTTGAAAAGGTTATCATAGAAAAATTTTAGTGGCACATCATGTAACTAGCAACCTTGCCAAAGATTGCAATAATTACCATCCCACTCTGAAAATAGCCCCCCACTTGAAAAGATGTTTAACCTTGTGAAAACCTTGCCATAATTGTGAGCTCCCTTTTACATTGGAGTCAAAGGAACCCCATACCCCCATATATTTAGCCTTTATGATCTTGAACCATAATTCATTAGGCTCTTGGAAAATCTTCCAAAACTACTTCACTAACAAACAATCATTCCTAATCTTGGTAGTAATGATTCCCAGATCCCCTTGGTCCTTAGGTCTACTTACCATCTCCCATTTGGCCACATGGTACCTAAATTTCTCTTTAGCCCCTTGCCAAAGAAACTTAGCTCTAATGCCATCCATTTGTTTATGTATGACCTCCTGTAGTCGGTAGAAACCCATGCAGTATAGAGGGATACTACTCAAACATTTATTAGTAAGAATTTGTCTCCCCCCAAATGTAAGGTGTGTTCCTTTCCAAGGGTTAGTCTTGTAACCACGTTTTGAGTCACTGGTAAAAATGCCCCCATATTCAGATGATTATCACTAATAGGGATACCCAAATACTTCAAAGGCAACTCCCCTAAGGCACAATTTAACATGTTAGGTATCTCTTCTTTTCTCCCTATTGGGCCCCAAAAACAAAGACTTCGCTCTTGTGAAAATTAATCTTGAGCCTTGACAACCATTCAAACAATATAGGATAAGCTTAAGATTTTTGATTAAGCTCTTAGATCCATCAATTATAATAACAATATCATCTGCATATTTGATGTGAGATGTGAATTAGTTCCTCAAGTACACTCCCTCTATGTGCCCCCTTATGTATGGCCTTTTCCAACATAACCCCAAAGCATTTGCTACTAGATTAAAAAGTAATGAGGATAAAAGGGTATCCTTGCCTTAAGCCTCTAAAAGTTCTAAAATAAGG